ACCTCCCCAGAGATTCTTTGTCTTGTTCCTACCTAGAGAAGTCCTCATAAGCTCAAGAAATCCCTTTTAATTGCATTTGAGCTTTTTGAACAGTTGCCATTCCCATATCAAGAATCAGATTAAAACAAGTAAATATACTTTACATTTAGCATGCTGAATGAGGCAACTCTTGCCTATTAGGAGGGTTGCTCCTCAGATCTTCACAGCTAAGAAGCTTTATAGAGAGTTCCTGGGAAACGAGGTTCCCTAGCTGCCTTTGCCTTTCTGATTTCTCCACCAGCTCCTGCTGTGGAGCAATCCCTCCTCCTTACTCCCACAACTTTACCCTTATAAATAATACCATTGCATTATAAGTAGGTACTCTGCAGAAAATGGGTGTGTCTTGCACACACACACACATCCCAGGCTGCCCACATATGCCTTACTGCCTGACAAACACATCTAGACAGCCTTTTCTTACTGAAAGAAAGACTCTGGTGGTTGCTGTTTTCATTTATTCTAGTTCGTGTTGTCAGATGGCCCTGTTCTACCTTCTTGTCCCACTGTTATTTTCTAGCACCTGCTCCTATTCCTCAAGATTTTTCCCAAAAACATCCCTATACCATAAATTTTAGATAGTCACATCATTCTTAGGACAACATCTTTTTATCCTTGTTAAAGAAGCTGAAAATCTCAGTTCCATCCACCAGCCAAAAAAGTAGTCATTATGAACCATTTATAGGATCCTGGCAACTTGATTTCCTTTTCACTTGCTCTTCTTCCTAGGATTTCTTCAGCACAGGAGAGGCCAGGATTTTCTCACCAGGCATTTGTTTTTACTCATCACTAATCAGTACCACTTGTTTGTCTAGAAATTAGAGCTGATTGTGTTAATTTATCAAACACCCCAGGTGCACATTTTGGCGATTTCAGCACACTCACTTTTAATCAAGGGGTCTTTTATATATAGTTTCAATCCTTTCCATTAAAAAGTAAGGGATTTAGCTCACTCTAAAGTCTTAATTCTGTTGCATCCTCACGGTTTACCGTCAGTTCAAAATGATGAGAAAACAAAAAAAACTTACTTGGAGTCTTGTTTGGATTTTTATGATTTCCTTTTCATGGTTCTGCTCTACATGTTCTACCCCTACAGGCATAATGTAGTCTAGAAAAATGAGCCATTTCAAGTAAAAGAAATAGTAGTGATCAAAAAGTCTGCAGTCAAGCTAAAGAGTGGTTTGTTTTGTTTTGTTTTTTTATTTGTTTAGTTGTTTTGCTGGTAGATGTCAGGTTCAATCTTCATGGGAATTTTATTAAGTATAAACTCCCCAAACATTGCTCTAGCATTATTATCAATTAGGTTAGCTTGGTAGCAGTCTTGGTATCCTTAAAGACAATAATGGTATCCTTACAATGACAGTGGGTTAAAGCAGCACTGCAGTGTATTGGGAAGTATCTGTGGTTAGTTTGCTGATACACTATTAATGAGTCTGTTCACTTAGAAAGTAACCTCTTAATTGGCTGGCCTTTGTTTGATAACTCTCATTATATCATCTTAAAAAAACAATAAGAACCAAATGCATGCAATTGCTTTTCCTCTAATGAATTAGTCATGAAAAAGTTAATTTAGTCTATTTATTCCAGATCCCCAGATAAGTGTTTTCTAAACTTTTTTTCTCAACCCATGCCTTCTTTTTTTCTTTTCTTTTCTTTTTTGAGACAGGGTCTTGCTAAGTTGCTAGGCTGGCCTTGAATTTGCAATTCTTGTGCCTCAGCCTCCCGAGTCCAACTGTGCCTTTTTTCTGATAAATATAAGTTGTATTGCTATTCCCTAAAACTTATGATATAACTTCTGAGAGGAGGCTGCTCCCAATTATTTAAAGAGCTAGTACCTTCTGCATATCCCCAAAACTTAGAGGATGCTATGAAGTTCTGCTGTTCTGTAGTCTGTTACACAAAAAAGTGATGACTTTTAATATCTGTTTTGCAAATACAAATACATATTATAATTGATCTGCTGTTTCAACCCACCATATCCCTCCTGTGGTTTCTGATATAGATCCCTGCAACCTGCCCCAGAATGTAGACAATTCACCATTTTAGAATCATTGCTCTAGTCTTTGTATTTAAAAATTAAAATCAATTTTCACTTTTTTTATAGTTTGAATGTATCACAGTTTATTCAGTAATTTCCCTAGTGAGATTTTAAAATGCCCCAATAAATATTGTTTTACATAGGCCCACAGGTCAAAGGATCACCAACCTCTTGTATATAGTAGGTTTTTCTCTCCCTCCCTTTTCTTTCCCTCCTTTCTTTATTTCCTTCCTTTCTTTTAACACAAATTTGTTACCTTACAGTTCTGGGAGGTCAATAGTCCAGCACAGTCCCACTGGGATAAAATCAAGGTATCATCAAAGCTGCATTTCTTTCCAAAGGCTCTAGGGGTGAGTCTGTTTACTTGCCTTTTCCAGCTTCTAGAATCCATCTGCATTTCTTCTCTCATGGCCCCTTCCTCTTTCTTTGAAGCCAGCAATGGCCAATCAAGTCTTTCTCATGTCTTATCATAGGGAGCAAGTTTTCTTTAGTCAAAGCTATATTAGTAGCTATTCCTCTCCTCTAGACCCTCCAACCACAAAGACTCTTAAGACAAACTTGAGTAAACTGTTAATTTTGCATGAGTCATGTCCAGGGCAGAGCTTTCTTAATACTCTTGTCTTTATAGGTGGCCATTTTTAAATTTAAAAAAATATGTAATTCTTTAATAAAAATTTTTAAATGATCCTAAAGCTAGGTTTTTCAATTGGAAAATTCAAATCTATTAGTAGTACATGCAATCAGCCACCCAAACCCAACCCATTCCTTCTTTCTGATAAACATAGGTCTATGACTGTTCCCTAAAACTTCTGATATAACTTCTGAGAGGAGGCTGCCCCTGTCTATTGGAGAGCTAGTATATTCTGTACATGCCCCCCAAACCAAGAGGATACTGTCAAGCTCTGCTGTTTTGTAGTCTGTGTTACAAAAAGTCATTATCAGGAGAATAAATTAAATAGGACAGACAATATCAGGGAGCATCACATATAGTAAAAGTACGATTGTTCTACAAAACTTTGGGTTCAGTTTTAGTTCTATAAACACGTGCATATATAGATCACCACATAAAATATATTTCTTTCTCTGAGTCATGGTCAGAGATTTGAAAAACATACCACTTAAGGTTTCTGAAGAAAACCTAGTGGTTCTGGAAAATGTAATTGCTCATAATGAAAATATGAAATGAAAGGTTGAGTATCAGTTTTGCATTCTCCCCTTCAGATGCCTTCACTGCAAGTTGGGACTTGCCTTCCTGCCTAGCCATAGAGCACAACCATTGCCCATGAGGCAAGTGGGCAGTGTCTGAGGACTGTAGGCATAGCCTCTTCAAGAACCCCCAGTTCAAAGCCTCAGCAAAAACCTTAATATATACTCTCCTTTCCACTCCCACCGCCACCGGGCTGTATACCCTCATTAGGTCAGTTGGCCTTGTAAAAATGGAAAAAACATGAGCATTCTAAATGCTTAAGAATATATGCTTCAAACACTGTCTTTATCAGGCAGAGACCCAAAGCCCTAAGCAATAAAGCAACATGTTCTGGTTCACATTACAGCATATCCAAACAATTATAAGACTTATGCCAATCCTAGTATTTTATACATACATACACACACACACACACACACACATAAACATGTGTGTGTGTATATATGTCTGTGTGTGTATACACATATATGTGTGTATGTATATATGACTAATGTGCAATGTAGGAAAATTAGAAAATACAGAATAACAAAAAGATTAAAAATGTACATGGAGTCTTTAAAAACTTAGACCATAAGCTGGGTGTGGCGACGCATGCCTGTAATCCCAGTGGCTCAGGAGGCTGAGGCAGGAGGATCTTGAGTTCAAAGCCAGCCTCAGCAACTTAGCAAGACCCCGTCTCTAAACAAAATATAAAAAGAGCTGGGGATGTGGCTCCGTGGTTAAGCACCCTGGGTTCAATCCTCAGTATCAAAAAAAAAAAAAAGATAGATAGATCATAGCATTTTTATAACTTGCTTTATTCATTACGAATACATATTTTGAAAATCTTTCCACATCAATAATTATACTTCTACCTCTGTTTGTCATGTTGTTTAAGACTTCCCTTGTACCATAAATTAACCATTTCTTTAATGTCCAATGTTGTTTTCAATTGAAAGAAAAAGGATTTCTTCTTTTATTATTTTTTTATAGTTGTAGATGTACAGCATGCCTTTATTTGTTTAGTTTCTTTATGTGGATGCTAAGGAGCAAACCAGTACCTCACACATGCTAGGCAAGAGCTCTACCACTGAGCTATAGTCCCAGCCCCGAAAAAAAGGATTCTTAATCACAATTTATTAATTGTCCACTGAAGCATGATTTCCTAAATTTGCTCAATAAATCTTTACCACTACTCTGACTACTCTGTAAGAGAATTTCTTATTCAAAGTAAATATTCTTCAGCTATATTTTTCAATTTTACACATTTACAAACGGGGAAGATAGGTCTTTCCTTTTTTATCAGTCAGTTTATAAATTCATGGGTTTCCTTGGTAACATAGATGGCAGGGTAGAAATCTGCATCACTGTGATGCATATAAGCAGTGTTTCGGGGAAAAATATGTGGCTGTCATCAGATATAATATATATTAAGGTTTTATTTTTAAAATCAAGACTTCTCCACAATGAATTAATTAATTGGGAACTATTTTATCAAGCATCTATTCTGTTCAGACACCTTGCTAGGCAGTAGAGCTAGATACTCTGCAAGATAATGCAGTATAATAGAGGAAGCTGACATTGATCAGATAATCATCCTGTTAAATATGTAATGATGAAGTGCCCTACAGCCAAAGAGTATGGCACTGTGAGCACTGCTGGACTGGAGTCAGCAGTGACTTTCCCAGGGAAGTTATACTTGAGCTGAGCTGGACAGATAAATAGGTACTAATGGGACAGGGTATTCAAAGGTTCTCCAAAACAGAGGGAGCATGGCAAATAAAGGGTAGTATGATTGGAACATAGAGAAAAAAAGAAGGGAGGGGCTGGGGTTGTGACTCAGTGGTAGAGAGCTTACCTAGCATATGTGAGGCACTAGATTTTATCCTCAGCACCTCATAAAAATAAATAAATTAAATAAAGGCATTGTGTCCATCTACAGCTAAAAAATAAATTAAAATAAATTACAAAAAGAAGAGAGGTCAAACTGCACAGAGCCTCACGGGCCATGGTAAAGGGGTAGATTTAGGGGACCTTTCCTAAAAGCTGTAGAAAGCCACTGAAAAAATTTAATCAGGAATAAGATTATGTCCCAGGGATAGCCTTATTTCAACCTGCACAGAATCCAACTTACTATTTCCTACTTTCTGTAACTGATACTACCACTCTTCTCACTACTCAATTTAAGCTACATTCTCTTCCTTTATCCTTCATCTAATCAGTTATCTAATCAGTGATTTATCCCTAACTTTCCTTAATTCTGTTTCCATGGTAATAAATACACTTGGTATCCTACTGTCATAATTTCAGTTTAAGCCCTCTACCTCTTGTCTGGACAATAGCCTTCTAATTGCTTCCTCCTCTCCTACCTATTGTTATCTTTTTCCCCAAACAAGCAAGTGAACTTCTTACTCATCCCTTAAGGTCCACTGTGACCCCTAGTACTATGAGCTTACCCTCTTTTAGATATTCCCAGTGTTTTATTTGACTTCTTTGAATTTTGGTATTAAATAGATCAAGTGGTAAAATGCTGTTCTCCTTTTTCTGTTTCCTATGATGAGCAGTTCGTGCCTTGTCCTAATACTACTTAATAAGCCTCCATTATAATGGATTGAGGGCAAAGCTAAAATGGACTCTGCTCCACTTAGAACAAGTATTCTCCAGCTGAATTCCACTAAGGTTCCTTAGACTAGGAGGTGGCAGACCAGCTTTGCAATGTGCCATATCATGTCCTTACTTTCCAGTGCTATACGCCGTCCTGCAGAGAAGGTCAGAAATAACATTTCTTTTTTAAAGGATTTGGACCTTTCTTGCACAGTTCGGAAAAAAAGCTGGGCACAGTGGTGCACACCTGTAATCCCAGCAACTCAAGAAGCTGAGGCAGGAGGTTTGCAAGTTCAAAGCCAGCTCAACAATTTAGCGAGGCCCTAAGCAACTTAGTGAGACTGTCACTAAATAAAAAATTAAAAGGTCTAGGGATGTGGCTCAGGGGTTAAGCACCCCTGGGTTCAATTCCTGGTATGGAGAGAAAAAAAATCAGTTCAGAAAAAAAGCTGAAAATGTGGGAATGACATTAATGAAGTCTTAGAAGAGTGGAAAATATTGTAGAGCCTATAATAGACCAAATTATGAGATAAACAAAGAGATCCACAAAAAGACAGCTACAAATTAGAAGGGCAGAGGAGCATTTTTTATCTTTACCACATGCATAGGGATGGCAGAGTTTCCTGACTACCTGATTCAGGAGTCTTCTAACAATAGGAGTTCATTCACTGATTAATACATAGTGGGCATTTGATGAGGACTATCCCTGGATGGATTGTGTACCACACTTATTGGAGGCAGTTTTATTCAGTCTGAATGCCTGAAATATGTTATGCAAGTATGCTTTGAGCCTTGAGTCTTCTTGTGGAATAGGGGAGAAACCTGAGTTCTGAAGTCTCCAATCATGTCAAAGTATAGAGGACTGGGACTCCTGGACAAATTTGCTTTAGCATATGAAGGAAGATGGAGATATTATTTCATATATTAGAGTGCTTTCCACTTTACTAAGCACTGTTAACCCATTTTATTACATTATCCTTATGACAGCCACGAAAAAGGGCCAGTAAGAAGTAAAACATCCTCTGACTCCCTTTTTTTTAATCCTTTTTTTTCTTGGTACCAGGGATTGAACCCAGGGGTATTCAGTCACTGAGTCACATACCCAGCCCTTTTTTAAAAACTATTGTTTAGTTGTTGATAGACTTTATTTTATTCACTTATTTATATGTGGTGCCGAGAATTGAACCCAGTGCCTCATACGTGCTAGGCAAGCACTCTACCACTGAGCTGCAACTCTAGCCCCCAGCCCTTTTTATATTTTATTTGAGACAGGGTCTCTAAGTTGTTTAGGGCCTTCCTAATTTTTTGAGGCTAGCCTCGAACTTTCAATCCTCCTGTCTAAACCTCTTGAGTGGCTGAGATTCCAGGCATGTGCCACCATACCTGGCTCCTCTCTGACTCCTTAACACATACTCTCTCCATTCTTCAATGCTGCTGAGTCTATAAGAGGGGAACACCATTTAATAACAGTCAGTGCTTCAATAATAGTTGAAACAGATTGGCCTAACATGTTCAGCCATTGACTGAGTCTGTTCCCTCTGCTTTTTGTCCACAGAACCATGGGGGTGTTGATGTCCAAGCGACAGACAGTAGAACAGGTACAGAAAGTGAGCCTGGCTGTGTCTGCCTTCAAGGATGGGCTGCGGGACAGGCCTTCCCTCCGACGCACGGGTGAGCTACCAGGGTCTCGTCGTGGCACTGTAGAGGGCTCTGTACAGGAGGTGCTGGAAGATAAAGAAGCAGAGGCAGGCACCCCAGTGGTCCAGGAAGAGAGCAGTGTCAACCGTGCAGCCTGGGAACGGCTACGAGATGGACGTGGAGTGGAGCCTGAGGAGTTTGACAGGACCAGTCGATTCACACCCCCTGCCTTCATCCGCCCCACTCGGAAGCTGGATGATGACAAGCCTCCAGATATCTGCTTGGAGCCCAGAGAGCCTGTGAGTGTTTAGTTAGAGCAGGGTTATTCAGTCTTAGTCTTTCTGATGACCAAGGAGCAGGACAAAGAGATATGAGTTATGAGTGTGGTTGAGATAAGACTCAAAAACAGAAAGATGGAGCTGAGTTCAGAACAATCTTTTTAAATTTTTTCCATAAGAATAAAATTATTAGTTTAGTACTAATCCCTATAGGAAGCATTTAGAAATTTGGGAGGAGGGAGTTAGGGTATATCACAATGACTGTGAGTTCCTACTAGTGTTTGATGCCAAAATCAGGATACTAAATGTCCTGCAGTGCCTTGGACAATCACTCATAATGGATTGTTCTCTCCAAAGAGGCTAATAGCATTCCTGTTCGAAAACATAGTCACAAAGGTCTGAGCATCTAGAAGAGTCTCCTGGTTCTTGTCTATCAGGAAGACAGCTCTGTCACCTTACAGGGGCTTCAGTTGGAATTGATCCTCTAGGCTGCTTCAGAGACTCAGCCCCCATGCAGGTAGCTCTGTGCTTAATGGCCATAGGATCTTGCTGCCTGAACTTTCACATCCCTATTCATTCCTGCCATCTTTTCCCAGATTGTCAACGATGAGATGTGTGATATCTGTGAGGTCTGGACAGCTGAGAGCCTCTTCCCGTGCCGGGTCTGCACCAGGGTTTTCCATGATGGCTGCCTGCGCCGTATGGGCTACATCCAAGGAGACAGTGCAGCAGAAGTGACTGAGATGGCCCACACAGAAACAGGCTGGAGCTGCCACTACTGTGTGAGCCTGGACTGCAAGGACAGTGAGCTGTTGTATAGAAGAGGACTTGGCACTTTCTTTGAAAACCCAATCTTATAATGCGTGTTTCTAGGCAGTGACCTGAAGGGTTTTCTAATAGTACATACAAGCAGGAGTCCTAGAGCTAGGATGGGTTTTCAGTATTCAACATTTGAGGTTAGGGTGTTCTTTGTTGTGGGAGCTGGATGCACTATAGGATGTTTAACAGCATCTCTGGCTTCTATTTCACTAGATGCCAGTAGCACATGCCCCTCATTGTGACAACCAAAAATGTGTCCTGGAGGAAGCAAAATCACCCCTTTTTGAGAACCATGGAGCTGGGGGTGGACTGATAGAACGAGACTAATTACTCAAAAGTAATATTGCCTAAAGCAATGCTTCCTCTAATAGTTTGTAGTTGTCATTTATTGTACTCACCTGAACATCAACCTGAGATCCTAAGCAACTTGCTTCCAAAAGGAATAGATTCCATCACATCCTTAGTCCTATGATCCTTACTTGACCAACTACCTGGCTCTTAGAAGCATTTGTTCTTCATCTCTGAAGTGGTGGTTATGTGAATTAAATAACAAAGCTCTATTGATTCAGAACTTTGCAAATTATAACAAATGTCTTCCAACTTTCAATGGACAGAATCTGAGGTTTCCATTAAAAGCCATATTCATGTCCTTTTCTCACCACACCTGAATGGAGTTCAACTCTTATACGTTGCATTGCATATATCTTCATTATTCTCTTATTTCAGAGTAAGAAGCACTGGATGATTACCCTCTTCTTCCTGCTGCCTAGAAGAAAACAGAGATCTGCCACTCTCTCTTTCTCTATGGCTTGTCTATAAAATGGATTATAGAACAGTTATGTCCAGCTACTTAAACACCTTCCCCACTAGAGTATGCCACAGCAGACCCAGCTCTACGAATAACCTTCCCTAGTACCATTTTCCACCCCTTGAGATCCCATTCTTTTTGCCCAGAAACTCTGCTTTGCAGTGTGCTGCTGGCATGGGACTGAGTTGAAGGTGTCTCCTGCCTACTACCAGGAATGCCCTGCTCCCTTCCTAATTTTCTGTCACAGTCCTACCAACATTATCACCACTCTCCACCAGGCTTTCTACAAAGGCCTCTTCCAAGTTCATCCCTTCTTTGCTTATCTCTCAGCCAGGCTTCTTAAAAGAACTTCATCATCTCCTTGTGGCTCCTGAGTCACCCTCAATCTTGACTTCTTCATCCATCATCCTGCTGAATTGGCTCTTCCTAAGATTACCAGTGATCTCTTCATTGTCAAGTCTCATAACTTTTTCTCAGGCATCTCATTTGATCTTTTTGAAGTATTTAGTGCTTATTTCCCTCACTTTCTTAGGGTTTGAGTATGGTTTGTGGAAATTATTATTAGCTATGGAAACTAGAAAAGATAGAAACTCAATAAAATCCCCCCACAATTGTATTACCATTGTTAAGATGACCTCCTACATTGTATGGCTCTCTTTGCCTCGTTTCCAGTACCATCTTCTCTACTGATTCTCCTGCAGCCTTTTTCTCAGACAATTCTTTCTCAATATCTTTAGTTTTTTTGTCTCAGTCTTAAATGCTAGTGTGTCTCACAGTCCTATTGCTAACACTCTCCTTTTCTCACTATACTCTTTCTTTCTCTTTGGGTTACTTCATCCTATTGAAACACTAACAACTCCCATATCTGTGTGTCCAGACTTAAATTTCCTGTTGCTTGAACTTATCCATCTTGATGTCTCACAAGTACTTCATGCTCAACATGCCCTCAAATGAACTCATCTTTCTACCCAAACCTGCCCTTCCTCCATTCCTTATCTCATCCCCCAATTTAGTCCTCACTCATTTTTTCCATCATAGTTCATATCTAGTAAGTCACCAAGCTCTGTTGACTCTACCTCTAATATCTCTCACATGCCTCCCCCTTCTCTTTTCTCATGTATGAGTTTAACCACTCAATCATTTCTTACCTATATTATTGCAATAGCCACCTAACTGCTTTGCATGCCTCCAGACTTTGCCCATCTAATTCATTTTCCCACAGCAATCAGAGATTTGAACATGGCACTCTCCTTTGGTGCCTCCCCTCTTTCCTTTTCCTTTTAGAACAAAGACCTAACTTGAGAGGCTCAATCAAGGGAGTTTCAGATGCTTTATAGTCAAACTACTTCTTTTCCTTGCACCCCACCCCCTCACACATATACTCTCTGACTATCTCACAGTGTTGCATACATACTGTGGTGGTGCCTAGCATATATGAGGTGCTCAATAAGTGTTTATTGAAAAACTGGTTTCTTTATGAAATCCACAAATGAATATTAATGAAATAACTGCTTCTGTTCTTTGCTGGCATTTTAGGGGGGAATTGATCTTCTGTTAAAATCTTAGATAATTTTTAGGACTGGATAGTAATAATAACAAACAAGAGCTGGGCACAGTGGCACATGCCTGTAATTCCAGTGGCTAGAGAGGCTGAGACAGGAGGATCGTGAGTTCAGAGCCAGCCTTAGCAAAAGCGAAAATAGAGCTGGGGATATGGCTCAGTGGTCGAGTGCCCCTGAGTTCAATCCCCAGTATCCCCCCTCCAAAAAAAAAGAAAAAAAGTTAGGTACAGTGGTGCACACCTGTAATCCCAGAGGCTCAGGAGGTGGAGGCAGGAAGATCATGAGTTCAAAGCCAGCCTCAGCAAAAGCAAGGCACTAAGCAACTCAGTGAGACCCTGTCTCTGCATAAAATACAAAAAGAGCTGAGGATGTGGTTCAGTGGTTGAGTACCCCTGAGTTTAATCCCTGGTACCAAATAATAATAATAACAAACAAAATATCAATGCTTGTTTGGAATTAAAACTTATGTGTCACCACAAAAAAATTCATTTAGTTTTAGGAATCTTTTGTCATAATGGCATCTCTTTTAAAACCATTCCAGATTCATTTAAAGCAATATAATCCACTAGGATCAGAGCTAGAATTCATTTTTTTGCTAAAATATTCTTTGGGCACAACCTAACACAGAAGTTAGATAAATAAAATGTATAAAGTTGGAGCTGCTCTCTTTGAGGAGCACAAGGATTTATAACTGTGCCCACTCACTAGCCTCCTTATCCCCTGCAGCACCTTTCTAAGGTAGTTTCAAGCAACCCTGATGTTAGCTCAGTAAATAATTTGAAAGCTAATATTTAGGTAAAGGGGACATCCGGATTCTGAAGAAAATTCTGCCCCAGAGTTAGCCAACTCTGAGAAAGTTCTTTCCCCTTCCTGGGACCTCAATCTCTTTGATTTATAATGGGAAGCAGGAATTAGGTAATCTTGGATTGCCTTCCAGTTGAAATACTATTTCTGTTCCTCTTGATCCTTAGCATTTCTTTCTTACTGGCCTATATGGCCACTGACTCAGCTTTTCTTTTTTTTCAGGACAATCTCAACTTGCTGCTTACTGAGGAAGAAATGTATAGCCTAACAGAGACCTTTCAGCAGTGTAAAGTCATCCCTGGTAAGGCTGGCCAGTGCTACCAGGAGGAAGAAGGGCCAAATTTCTTCTTCATCCTTTCTAGGATGAGCCATGCATGAATAGAGTGTTCTGGGATTCAGGAGATAGGAGGTAAATGGGTTCTTGTTCCTCAGTTGTTGGCCAGCAGAGGCACCCACCCCAGCATAACCTGAACTAACCTGGCTATGAGAAGCAAAGACTTAACAAGACCTGTGGCTGGGAGGCACTAAGGACATCCTAGAAATAAGTGGAGATGCCCAAGGCTGAGTAAGGGTGGGTATGACCAGCAAGAGGTGCCTCCTATGGCCAGGCATGGTGGTACATACCTGTAATCCCAGCTCTTCAGGAAGCTGAAGAAAGTATTGCAGGTTTGAGGCTAGCCAGAACAACTTAGTGAGACCCTGTCTCAAAATTTTAAAAAAGCTGAGGATGTGGTAGAGCATTTGCCTAGTATGTGTGAGGCCCTGGATTCAATCCCAAATACAGAAAAAAAAAAAAAAAGAGCTGCCTCCCACAGATTGCTCCCTGACGCTGGAGGACTTTCTTCGCTACCGCCACCAAGCAGCGAAGCGGGGGGACAGTGACAGGGCACTGAGTGACGAGCAAGAGGAGCAGGCAGCCCGCCAGTTTGCAGCCATGGACCCTGAACATCGAGGCCACATAGAGTGGCCTGACTTCTTGTCCCATGAATCCCTACTACTCCTGCAGCAATTGCGTCCCCAGGTGAGGGGCAGCTGGGATGAATTTCCATGGGATATTGGGTGACAGAGGTCTGGAAAGCATTCTGGGCAGGTTGGGGGAATACTGGATACTGTCTGAGCAGGAACCAATATCAGGAATGTATTCAGGTTCCATCCAGTGACAGATGATAAGTGCCCAGGCTGGAGAAACTGCCCCAGAAAGATTGGTTTACACTGAGCTCCCCTAAAAATGTTTGTTCTACCAGAAAGGCTCTAGAAACTTCCAAGGGAGGTTGTAAAGGTTAGGTAATGGGAGTAGGATTCTCTGTGGCTTGACAGTTTATAAGATATTTTCATCTTCAAGATCTTAATGTGTCTCTTCTTCCCCAGAATTCACTGTTGAGGCTTCTGACAGTCAAGGAGCGGGAACGAGCCCGAGCCACCTTCCTGGCACGGGGCAGCGGGAACACCATCAGTGAGGCAGAGTGCCGCTGGGCCCAGCACTCTTGGTTCTGCAAACGCCTCATAGAGGCTCCTTCTTGTGGTGTGAGGTCTGCTCCTTTCCATCTCTGCCCCCATTTAGTCTTCCTTCTCTTTTTTCCCATGCCAGTGGCCCTTGGTGTGAAAGGTACCTTCCTGCTAGTCCTACCAAAAGCCGGGAAAGGATCCTCCTATGCATTAGGCAGAGGATTGTTATTCCTGTTGGCCAGTTCACAGGGTGAACTGTGTTGCCATATGTCAGAAAAGCATGATGAGGCATATCCAGAGCCATGGGTTCACCAGAGTTTGGGAGCAGTCAGGCCTTTCACTATTCTACTCCTAACCACATGTGCTTATGCCTAGCAGTATCAGCCACGTGGGTCCCCTAGCAGACAGCAGCCCCGCCAGCAGCAGTGGCAAAAGTCAGGATAAGCCCCTACTACCTGCAGAGCACGAGTCCAGGTGAGTAGAACCTCCTTACCTAGCTTTCTCTACCCTCCCCTCTCTAATACACATATATAAGTAAGAGAGAGCATCACCCACAGTTACTGAAGAATAGCAAATGCCTTCTCCACAGGCATCAGACCCCAGGAGTACACATTTGACCCCAGTTCTCTAGACCCAGCCAGCCCATCTGCTGATTTGGTAGAGCAGTCAGACATGAGAGGCATGAGACTTGGCTTTCCTGAATTTTGTCTAGCTTAAGCCATGCTCCCATTGGGATCAGGTCTTGTGAGCCTTTGGGTTCTGCATCAAGCCTCATGAGCCTATTCTTTATTTATGTCTACTGCAGATCTGTGGACTGGCCCACCTTCCTGCGAGAGAATGCTGTCTACATCTTGGCTGCTCGCCCTAATAGTGCAGCCATTCACCTGAAACCCCCAGGATAGCATGGCACAGAGAAGTTTCGGTTCAGGAGCACTGGCATCTTCTCCCTTCTTCCCTTTTCCTCTTCCTTCCACCAAATTCTGGCTCTGAGACTCATGGGGATTGGGCACTGCCAGCATCTTAATTTGTCATTAAGCTTTATGGCACTGAAATCACCATTCCCCTCACAACAGAGGCAGTTAGTACATTGCCACAGGGAAAATCCTTGAGAATTGTGGCAGCATCCACTCCTGGATCATCCCCTGTTCTCACATCATAGACTGGACTTGCCACCATATGCATACAAGTGTGCACATGCACATATAGTCACACACATGGATATCAGTCAAGCTGGTTCTTTTTATTTGAAAAAGGATCAGAGTCCTTTTGTGAAACCCCTGGTGTGGATGAAAGGTGTCTACTCATCTCTTCTATTGTCCAGTTCTGATTTCCAATAGGCAAAACTATGGCCAAGTTATTATTAACAAAGGAGCATATCAGATTCACATTCCCTCCTGAGGATACTGAGAGGCCCTCTCTGCCCACATTGAAAACCCCTTCTGTGGTGAGCCGATGTTACTAGTAGGTATCTGTTATGTCCCTGAGTATGGTGAAGATGGAAAAAATTGTTCAAAACTACCACTTCAGTTTAACCCATTATTTATTTAGATTCTAATTCTTTGAGACAGATAAGGTAACTGCTTGTGAGATCCTGGCTGTAAAAGAGGGAGACAGCCTCTCCTGGAGACCAGAATTCTAGGAATCTCACAGCCAGGTCATCCAAATCCAAAAAAAGTCTTTATCAGAATGGTAAAAACCCAATGTGAGCCTTCCTGGCCCCCATTTTTCAGATTGTTAGCACATGGCCTAAAACCCAAGGAACCTGAATGGAACAAATATGCTGGCAGGAATCACAACCCTCTGTGTTAAATGCCACACCCAAGTCAGCTACCACAGAGACCAATGAAGACAAGGTCTGCAGGGAAGAGGAAAGGAGAGGGCTCATTCTTTTCCATTGTTCCAGCTCAACCATAGCCCTAGAAAAGTGTGCCTTTGTGTGGAGAACAGAGCCAGCCTCTTTCCCAGCCGAAGAGAGAGCAATGCTACAGTAGTCCTGAGCAGGGTCTTCTTTCAGCCATCCTGACAATGACGTTAGGGGAAAACTAGGGCCTGTGAAGATTTGCGTCTCAGCTCTCTCGAGCAGAGGACGTCCCAGTAGAACTTCACAGAAGGAAGAAGTTTCTCCTTTTCCCCATCACTGAGATGTGGCTTCAGTTGCTGCTTCTGCCCACTGCTCTCTACAGTCATTCTCTCCATACTGGGGCCTGGGCATGGGAGGACTCTGAGAGATAAGCAGAACCTACCAAAAGGGCACCAAGTTTGGCCTGCAAGCCTCAGCCCTTCTTCCCAAGTTCTCAAGTCAGTGTGTGGTGTGGATCAGCCTTGGCCTGGGGTCTAGGTTCTAGATTTCTGTTGTCAACTGAATTACTTAGCCAGATCTGACTACCAAGAGTTATTCTAGAGGGAATTGAGTTTAATCATGCAAAAGCTCCATGGCACTTGTACTAAATTGGGTGCTTACAGAAGAAGGAATACCACTTGGTGTGGAGATACTCAGAGGAAAGCAGGAAGCTGCCACCAGGGGCTTGGTAAGAGCCCTGTGTAGTTTCCTTCTGTAGGAATGGCTTGAGCTAGACGCAGGGTGAAAAACTGCTGGGGATGGATTCTTTAGGACTGAAATGAACAGGAGAATAATGTATATATATGGCCCTGAACATTTTGAAACTCACAGCCCTGTAAATACTCATCAACCATACTCCCTGGACTGATCCAGTCAGAGGGGCCATTATTCAGTCTTATTTTTTAAAAAGGAAAGCAAACACATGACTCCTGGACCCAAGAACTGTATCCAAAGCTGCCAGACTTGGTAATTTTCACTGAGAAGATTAAAGCACGTTAAACACAAGGGCTCTTACTTTCCTGGCAAGTCATCCTCTATACCAGTGGCCCTGGGCTGCTGGGTCTCACAGACAAGACATTTTGAGTAGAGACAAGCTCTGGGCTTTGAGAGCTGGACATTTTTTTTTTCTCCTGACTCCTTATCTGATAGAGAGACTAAAAGTCCAACTTCTTGCTTCTTGATCCTTCAGAGATGAAGGTGATGCTCATTGCTCTGGAGCTGCTGCTTCTACCTCTCCATGAGTGAGTGGTGAGAGACTGTGGGCCGGACCAGGCTGCTCTGTCTCAGGGCCTGCATAGCATGCCCCAGAGTTCTTGTAAAATGGGAAAAAGCTGATTTAAAATCACCCCTCTCCCTGTCTGAAGTCAGGAAGCTTCTTGGTGAAGAGCCTGCTACAGAGGGCCTAGGGAACACTGCCCCCAGCAAAGAATAGAGTTTCAAATCCACAACAGTTCTGAGAAGCAGAAAAATCACACAAGGGAGGCTGGTCTCTTCTGTGTAAACATCTAGCTTTGTACCAGAGGAAGGGTCCATTGTTCTTCAGTCCAGAGTTGCAGAAACTCCATCCCAATCCCCCTGTCCAGAATTTCCCTTTGGAGTGTCCTAATCCCTAGAGACCCTCTGTAAGGCCCATTCCCTCTTCAAGATTTCCATCACTGTGATTGTCTGAAATTCTGCCAAGTATAAAAAATAGTGTCTGGCTCTAATAAGGGAATGAGAGAATGTTTCAGCCTTTTCTTCTTGGCTGCTGAAAATTGAGACCAGTACTTTCCCCAAGTACCACCCACCCAGACACCAGCCATGGGAGGCATGAGTTACACATATGCTCCCCTGAAGACCACTTAACCTAAGCCTGTTTTTCACACAGCTGTCCTCTACACTTTTATTCAAATAAAAGGGCATCTGGATGATACTGAGGGTCACTGAGGAAGTGACTGGCCAGGTCTGCTGTTTTGCCTTCCCCAGTGGAACATTTGAGCAGTGGCCCCTATGGTATCCCAGGGATGGAGCAGTTTCCTCACTCCTAGATATTGATCCAACTCTCAAGTGCTCTTTCTTTGAGGACAACTGCAGCAGAAGCCACGAATACATTGCCTGTTTCTACCCTCAGCCCAAGCAATGGGCTAGCAGGGCAGACACCCACCTTTCTGGCCCTGGTGCTCCCTATGGGATGTCACCCCAGGTTTGCTTAAATGGCTGAATCTTAGGGCTCCCCAATTCCTCTCATCAATATGGAAAGCACAGAATCAAACTTCCTGGGAAGAGGGTACCTCACTGGGAAGTAAGCTCCAGGGTTGTACCCAGGCCTCTTAGCCCAAAGCACAACTTCAACTATTGCAGGCATCACACCTTTGGAAAGAGTGGTGCCAGGAAGCCCTAACACCAAAAGAGAGGCTCAGAAGAATCTGTCTAGCAGGGCCCAGGTCAGGCCATGACCACCCCATAGCCAAGAGTAACCTCTAGGCAAGTCTGAAAACTGACAGCAGGCCATAATATTCCTGCAGGTATGTCTCCTTCAAAGCAGCAGAGTAAAGGCAGATGTACACAGTCATGTGTTACTTAACAGTGGGAATCCATTCTGAGAACTGTGCCATTAGGCCATCTGTTCACAATGCAAATATCATAGCATATATTTACACAAACCAAAATGTCTATGGCATTACTAGGCAATATAGTCTTACGGGACCATATGCAGTCCATTGTTGGTTGAAATGTCATTATGCATCACATGATTGTTCTTCTGAATTTGCCACTAAAAGGCAGGACAATCTCTGCCAGAATTTCAGGTCATCCTGGCAGTATTTGTAACCGAAGTCCCTTTGTATTCTCCTATTTACAGTGGAATAAAATTGCTACTTTCTCCTGCCAGTTAGCTTGAATTTGCCCAGGATATCTCTCTCAGCCCCAGGCTGCAGCCCAGACAATGGAGATTTCCTGAGTGGGCCCTATCAGTGCATTGTGTTCCCAACAGTTCAACCCTAGGGTGGAGTGGAGCTGGGCATTTTCCCTGATGTTGTTTTCCTGCTGCCACTATTTTTGCCAATCTTGAAAAGAAAATAATCAGTTTATAGAATTTCCACTAGTCCCAATCAGCACTAAGGAAAAACTGTTACCCTCTGGGCTATACTCCCCAATGATCCACAGCATGGAGAGGGGGCCAGGTCTCATTTGGACCAATGATTAAGAAGCCCAACCACATTTCAGTTTGCATAGCACTTGGTGGGCCTTCCCATATCCATGGTGAACAAAGGCCTTCAAGCTTAGCTCCAACTGTTAGGGATGTCCTTGATCTGTCTCCCAAACATAGGCTGTGAGAGGGATCTCTGAGAGCCCCTGAGTAACAGTGAAGGATCCAGTGCCCTCTGGTCCCTCATGCCTTTCCCATTTACTTTTCTGCAGAAGGTAACTTGACAGTAAGCTAAGGGGGACCATCCCAAGCCCTGTCTTCCCATCTATAGCTGCATGTTCCTTCCATGGCTCAGCCTTCACAGCACTCCAAGAAGGAGCACCTAGAAGCTGGGCACAGTGGAAACTATAATAAAGAAAATGTGATGCTATTCCAGTTTCCTGATTCCTGTTGTTTGGGGAACCTCGAAATGGGCAGGCTATTTCTCTGTGGTTTCCCATCATTGACCAATTCCTGGGGATAAGATAACTGTGGCTCTCTTTCTAGAGATTTCCTGGCCCTGGCTTTCCCAAGAATCGAATAATGAGGGTGTGTGTAGGAGCACCACACATACAAACACAGAAGGGAAATGCAGCAGGAGTACTGAAGGGGAGAGCCTTAGTAAGAAGTAATAAAGGCTTCCAGCCTGTCGGCTATATATTGTCCCCCTCCTCACCAAAGGTTCATTTTAGACACTTCTTCCAGTTCCTGCTAAACTACAAAATATGGAAGCTAGTTGGCTGTTTTCTCCTGAATTTCTGGGACCTCCCTAACCTGATAGATTCCTTCCCACTTTTACAAACTGTTTTAGTGTAATATGATAGAATTGGGAAAACTAAGGTTTATAGAGGCATTTGGAGGACTATGAAATCCCCATTCATCCCTTTACCTGGTTAGAAAAGCCAGTACCTCAGCTTCTCTACACTGTGGATAAGATGCTGACACTACCTCCAAAGCCACAGAAGTCCCAGGAACAAGTAATTG